GCTTTTAGTGGCGGTGGGAACATCTCACTGATGCGTGTCTATCCTGGTCAAATGACTCGGCAAGAGACCCGCGCTAAAACCACCTCGGAACGGCATGCTGTGGGAGCGGGTTGACCCGCTAATTTACGTGATAGCACTGAATGCATCGTAGATGTCAACACACCGCGCCAGTCGCCTCTGATCTAACAATCAGAATCAACTCTGTTTACATTTGATAAACACGGACAGATAATGGAGAGAAACAATAAAGCACACTAACTACGCCCCAACTTCCTTACATGTTGCTGTCCATTGTCTACTTCCCTGATTTCGTGGCATTGATGACATCATCAACTCTAACTCTAACCCAGCGTAATGGAGTCACCAGACACGCAGCTGTGGGGGCTGCCAGCGTGGGGTTAGACCAGATTTTATTGCCAGAAGGTAGCTAAATGCCGATTGTTTGCGGGTCGACCCATGTTTGAAAAACGGGCGTTAACCTGCTATTTTCAGTGGGAAAGACGCTATAGACATCTTGTTGCCTTGCAGCTCTGAGGCCTGAATGAATGAAACTCAACACTCATAAATCATTGTATGTAAAAGGGAATTAATAGCTGCTGTTGTGAATAACTGTTAAATTCAGTACCAAGCATGCTGGGATACGACACTATCTGGGTTGCAGGGCAGAGAAGAGAGGTCTCACATCTGTTTTATGAGTAAAACTGCATCCCCTTCTCAGTGATCATCTTAAGGTGAGAGATGAACGTCTCAATGTCCTAAATTATCATCATGGTTAATGGCACAACAATGCTGTTGCATGATGGTGATGTAATCAGCCTGTTGTGTACCACCAGAGATTCTGAAGTATGATCATATCTGAACAACGTAACCCTAAACACGTCAGCAGCACAGCAGAGGACCGCTAACCCCAAACCAAAGCTCTGCACCAAGATCTTTATCACTTTGTTCCAAAACATGAAGCAGACTTTAGAGCTTCTTTATATTTCTGTTGCCATAGAGATGGACTGATCTCCACTTAGGTGCAGAAGTTTAGGAGGAATCCCAGACAAGCCCCCAAGAAATTCTCCATCCAGCGTTTGCTGTGAAGAGGAAAATATTCTGGCGACAGCTGACAACCACAAAGATCAACACATCTGAATAGATAATGAAGATAAACAGTCTATTGTTGGTTTGTTCTAGAAGCAAACAATCCCAGATGTGCCTGAAAGCTGAGAGAAGCTGCACATGTTGCTCCTTACAGGATATATTTATTGTTGCACGGAGACAAAAATTTGTTCAAACATGATTTAGTTTTGGAGATTTATATTGTTTTAATGTAAAATCCAGTTGTTTCATGTTTTATTTTATTCCCTCTGTTCTTCTGCACAGTTTTAAATGAAAACTATTTTTTACTTCCTGTCAAATAAATGATGCTTGTTGATGTAATCCGCTAACCTTATTTTTTCCCAGTGCCTTCCAAGCCTGCAGGGATATGTTACAGAGTGAAGAGAGAAGCAGCGAGGCTGACTGGGCTTCAACTTATCTGGATGGTAAAATATGCCAAATAATTCATCCTATACAAATCAATAAAAGACATCTATGGGTTCATTTCAGCAAGGGACATGACTGATAATTAATAATAATTAAGCCCCTTCTGGGAATTTAATTGTTTTTCTTGATGCCTGTTGGAAAAATACAAAGGCTATAATTTATTTACATCGTGTGTGAAGCTGCACATTTATCTAATGCAAAAACAACTAATATATAGTAGCTCGGAAAATCTGCTCTATGTTATATTATTTTATTGCATTATAAAATTTAAATGATTAAAAACAAAGGAAACAAAATGCATTTCATTAAAAAAAGTAGAAATGATGTTAAACATGGAGACGTTCCCCTGAAGAAGGCCGTTCTTCGTCCTCTTTGTGCTTTAGGCCTCTGATCCTGGGGAGGCTGAGGGTCGGGTCCTCGGGTATAATGTTAGCATTAATTCAGTGAAACAGGATCAGAACGGGACTGAGATGATGGCGCTTCCAGTGGAGAAGGAGGGGAACTACAGCGTCGCTGTTCAGGCCTTCAACACTGCTGGATTCGGACCCGCAGCGCTGCTTCAAATCAACACACAAGCTCAGAACCGTAAGTAGTTCAGTGACTGGCTCCTGAAGCTGCTTCTATGGTTCACCTTTCTGCAGCCACGGCCACCCTGTGCATTTCTACCCCACTGGCCAGTTTAAACTGTGGTAGCATCAGTTTAACATTTTATCCCTTTATGCACAGGCAGCGACGTAACATTAAGAATCACACAATAAACCCAGATCTGAGTAGGTGTTTACTGAAGGCTAAATGATTTCTACAGTAGATTCAAACCCTGAAATTATGGCTTTTAGTTTCAGTGGCCAACCCAAGATTTTTAGTAGCCCTATCTGCCCCCCGAAACATTGTGATGGTTCCCTGATTGATTCATTTCACAGTAAAATAAACACAAACCATAACTTTTCAGACCAAAGCAAAACTTTTGACCTTTATCCTTTTAATCTCTACCATCGGCTCGTCATCAGCTGTTCCTCCAGTTTCACCAGATCCTGGGTGAGTTGCAGGTTCTTATCAGAGGAGGGATTGAAAGTTCAAGACGGGACCAGATGTGTCTTACTGTCGCATTCTCTCTGCTTGGATTGAGGCTAATCTTTCTCATCTGGGCAGGCCTG